GTTTATACTAATTTTAACTTCTCAGTCTAATCTTAAGTTCTTTATACTCTTATTTTTTTTATAAAAATCACACAGAATAATTTCAAATCTTGTGCCTTAGGACTGTCAGCTTTTGCACAGTATTGCATGTAATGTGCTCTATTTTACGGAGTTTTGATCTAAGTTTCATGCAACTGTGTTGCACTAGGACTACATCAAGGAATTGTGATAATAGGCATTTGGGAGGCAGTATTTTCTTATTGTTGTGATAAAAAAATAAGGTGAATGTTTAAATTAAAACAAAATTTTATTACAGTGAAAGACATTGCCATTAATTCCCCTCAGAATACTCCCCCTCGCTTCGAACACATTTATCCCATCGGTCTTGCCTCTTTCTGAAAATCCTCTTTCATGAGTGTCTTTAGTTGTGCTGTCATGGCTGCCTGGATGTCCTGATCGATTCAAAACATTTGCCTTTCATTTTGACTTTGGGGAAGAGCCAGAAGTCGCATGGTGCCAGATCCAGTGAATAAGGTGGATGAGGACACACCATAATGTTTTTATTTGACAGAAATTGCCATACCAGAAGAGATGGGTGGCACAGACATTGTCATGATGGAGGTTGAAACCATTTGCCCATTTCTCAGGCCATTTTCTACACACATTGTTTCTTAAATGCTCTAATAAGCCCTTATAATAATCAGAGTTTACCATAGTGTTCCTGGATACAAACTCAGCTCACACAACTCCACCAAGATCAGAAAACACAGTTAACATTACCTTGATCTTGACTGATGTGCTTTTTTCGCATGAGGAGACCTGGGTGATTTCCATTGAGAACTCTGAGCCTTGGTCTCAGGATCATAACCATAGACCCTAACTTCATCTCCCATGATGACATGTCTTAAAAAGCTGGAATCTGAAGCAACACAATCATGCAACTCCAATGAAATTGACAAACACTGTTGCTTTTGTTTGAAAATCAAAACGCATGGAACAAATTTTGCACTCACTTGCCTCATGTTCAAACCTGTTGTTAAAATGCTTTAAATGGCACTGGAAGAGATGTTCAGATCCTCAGAAACTTCCCTAATAGTCAATCACCTGTTTGATTGAATCGTTTTTCGTACTCTTTCAACATTCTCTTGGGTTTTTGATGTCGTAGGACTCCAGATCTCTCCTTGTCTTCAATTGATTCACAGCCATTACGAAATCACTCGAACCACTTGTAAACCGTCTTCATGGTCACTGCAACGTCACCATAAACTAATTTTAACATTTTGTGTGTTTCTTTACCCCTTTTTTGCAATTTGAAGCAAATTTTCATGTTCGTGATCCATGATTTATGGCTCATTTTAAAACACACCTTTCAACCGTAGCTCACACCTGACTGCACCAGACAAGTGGAAACTTGTCACACACTGTTACTAAGGTTCGACTCATCACTTCCCATATTGAAGGTCCCTGCCTTTCCATTGGATAGCACTCGGCAGCAGCATTCACCGTATTTTTTTGTCATACCTCGTAAATATCTTCAGGAATGAAGGGATCCGAAAGAAGATTGAATTGTGCCAGTATCATGTAGAAAGTGAGATATCAGTCCTCAGGCCCATAGTTTATCATCCAAAGATAGGGAGAACCAGCAGATAGCGAATGTATTGTATTTCAGGGTACACATCTATAACAAAAAAAAACCTTACTTGTGGATTGCTCTTTGTTATCTACACATTCTGGGAGTGATTTCATCCAGCCCATGTCTTTGAACAACATCTGTGTGCTAGCGACTCCCAG